TTAGTTGTTTTTAGGTGATTCAATGCTGTTTTATCTTGTTTTTGTTTTAATATAGGGCTATTTTAATTTTATGTTTTGTGTTTTACTTATTTATTTTGCTGTTTTCTGTTATTCTATTGTTTTAACTTATTTTCTGTACAGCACTTTGTTCCTGTGCTGGGTATTTTAAAGTGCTTTATAAATAAAATTGGATTGGATTGTAACATGGGAACATGTACATTCATACATTTTGTTGGAGGCACCTAACCTGGGGCACAACAATGAAAAACAGCAGGAATTTTATGTGCAGGGGGTTTGCGCTTGGGAGACAGTGTTAGGAAAGTGCAGCGCTTTCTGGGGCTGACAACCTGAACAGAACTTGAGCAGCACCTCTTGGGCGGCAACAGAGGGGTAAAAGCAGCGTCTCCCTGCCGCTCGACCCCTTCTCCACTCGAAACCAGAGCTAGGAAGGTTGAGACTTCTTCCTCCTGGGTGTTGGGTCCCGCCAGGGGCCCGAGGGTTGGCCTTTGCTCCAGGCCGACTGGCGTGGAGCTCGGCCGGAGCTCGCCGCTGGTGGCACACCCACTGCAGCAGTGGGCGTCGATCTCTTGCCAGTCGGCAGAGGAGCGGCGGGCCTGTGAGAGCTAGCTGCGGGCTTGGGCTTCGCCTGACGTGTGGGAATGATGTCGTGCAGAGCTTCAGTCTGCTTCTTCCTCAGATTGAATCTAGCCCAAATGGCTTCAATTGAATGTCCGAATAACCCAGCTGCAGACACTGGTGCATCCAGATATACAGCTCTGTCTCTATCCGGGACATCAGAGAGGGTCAGCCACAGGTTCCTCTGCGCCACTACTGATGAAGCCATCCCTCTGCCCAGGGAGAGCGCTGCACAGCGGGACGCACGGAGGATGTAATCTGTGGCAACTCTGGCCTCGTTAAAAAGAGGTGCCAGTGGGCTGTCATCAGGAACCAGCGATCCGAGCTCCGCCAGGCACTTTGCCTTGTACATCTGGAGCATGGTGATGGAGCTCATGGCGCAAGCAGTGCAGGCCTGAGCCCGATAAATCTTCTCCAGGTGCGAAGCAGAGAATCTGCAGTGCTTGGACGGCAGAGTTGCGGGGCCGCTGACACCATGGTTATGGGACAGGGCCAGATAAACAGCCAAGGACTGTCCATAGCCGGGCTCAGTGACGCGGGCAGACAGAGGTTTATCCCATGATGCTGTTAGCTTGCATACAAAGTCTGGGAACATGGGAAGGCAGTTTATGGCCGTTGGGCTCCGGTGGGAGGAAAAACCCGGAGCTGGAGGAGGTCCTCTCCTCCTCCAGCTCAGAACCGTGACGGCTTCTGAGCTGGAGGAGGAGAGGACCAGTCCACCTGCAGCTTCTCAACAGTACGGCGTAACAGGGAGAAAAGACAGGTGTCATCGTGGCCGACCAGCGCAACAGCAGTGGCGGCACATTTGGCCGACAATGAGCTCTCCCGCTCATCCTCTGACAAACCATGGATGTCCAGGCTGATGTCCAGCACGTGATCGTGTTCCTGGGGAGCGCTGGTGGGCTTCAACCCAAGCTGAACCCCGTCAGCGCTCCTGCATGGTTCCGGCTTGTCATCAGCTAACCTGTCAACATATCCCATGTGGTCAGCCTAGCTAATTGCCCGAACATCGACCGGATAATCCACAGCCGAGCGTCCCAGCGCTATTTCCACAAACGCCACCCGTGTTTCCAGGATCGAGCGCTGGAGCTGGCGACAAAACGCACAGGCTTCAGGCTCCGTCAACGCTCTCCTAGCGTGGATGATCCCCAGGCAGACAGGGCAGGCATTGTGCTGGTCGCTGTCGTGCAAAAAGAAACCGCATCCCTGAAGACAGGGCGAACAGAAGATTTCTGCTTTGCTCGCATCAGTTTGGAGTCCATTCCAAAACGCAAAGCCAAACGCTGCACAAGAAAACTCGAAATTAGCGCTCCGCGGGCAGCCTACGGACCAACTGCGCGGTGGAGGTTGACACCAACAGGGGCAGTTAAGCTAAGTTCAAGTCGGCAGACAACGGAGCTAACTAGTAGCAGCTAGCTAGCCCAACTCAGTAGAGGTGTTCTCAGCGAGGTGAAGAGCATAAGAACTGAGGCATGACTGTGATGACAGCGGCTATATGTGCAGGCGGGTCCGTGCGCGTGTCATCACATGTTATCCGCCTTAAAGGCGTGAATAAAGGTTTCTTCAGCCAGGACACGCAAGGGCGTGATATCCCATACTTAGGTGTTGTACCGAGTGAATCAACTGAAAGGGAACACCAGTGCCTAGCATGCGAAGGTATCACTTTCAAAACTGGGAGGTGATGCAAATTCCTGGATGGGTTGCGTCAGAAAGGGCATTTGGCCTAAAATTTATGCAAGTTCAGACATGCAGATCTATTCACTGTGGCAACCCCTTGCAAATAGCAGCTGAAAGAAGTCAACTTCTGCAGTAATAGCCAAGCAAAGTGTAATTAGTCAGCTACTAGCCGCACAGCATTTACCTGACTTCGGTAGCTTTGTTAAATGCAAGTGTTCAGGTAGACAAAGAGTGCTACATAATAAAGCAATACAGCTGTTGTTTCACATAATTATTATTCCTTTATTTATCCAGGTAAATATCTCATTGAGATTAAAAATGTCATTTGTAAGAGAAACTTAAACAGTTTAATGCCGTTAAGCTGGGCATACACTGTGCGGTTTTTTTTTCAGTCACATTATTCAGCTCCTGCTCAAACTGTACAATTAAATCGCAGGGGCTAGAGGTTCGTCTGTCATGATGCAGGGTCTCACACTATATGGCCCGATGCTCTGATGCAACCTGAGTGCTCACACTGTGCGTCCATAACATGAAGCTTATAACACTAAATCTGTCTCTTGCTCTCCCTCTCTGTCTTTACTCACACAGACACACACACCACCACCATCAACTTTGCTAAATTGCTTATGAAAAACATTGACCAGGCAGCTGCAGTTGAGCAGCAATGTCCATGCAACTCTTTTCATAGTTGGTGCAGTCATGATAAAGTTCTGCAAGTTATGCCTCTATCGCTTGTGTCCAGATCACACGCTGCACTGCCAAACTGCTACTTCGTCTTTCCACTTCCATTTCTGTTTGCGCATGCGCAGTGTGAAAGGCTCCGTTGACAACCTCACAAGGGCCAACATGATTTCAAACAGGTTTGATTTCCTTGCGAGCATACGATTGATGATCGGGAGCTATTCGTGAGGTGTTAATCGCTTCTTGTTACCCCATGTATACTCCACGATGCATGACACACAATTAAGGCGAAACTTGGGCCGATCCCCAAAACGGTCGCACAACTGAAAAATATGCTCAAAATGGGCCAAAAATCACACAGTGTATGCCCAGCTTTACAATTAAACAGTTAATTGACTCAGAAATGCAGAGTTCACTGTTGAACAATGAGATTTTTCCTGATTACTTTATACAAAAAAATCTGAAAACTGTGAAAAGCATCCATCATAAAAATCTAGATCCCAACAGTGATTCTGATAAATAAATGTAAATCTTATGGATTCCACCATAGAAGTGATTACCTAATGAGCTTCTTATAAATGCCTGTTTTGCATTGCCTGTTTTTTCTTCTTGTGTAATTCAAGGTATTTCTGGAAGTTTTTAGCATGTAAGGGTAAAATTTCTGATGAAGTGAGGACCAAATATAGCACAGTGAATTGATGTAAGCAGAGAGCATGAGTCAGCAGTTCTTTTTTTCAGCTCTTCTATAGGTCTGTGCTGAGTTAAGTCCCTCAAAGGCCTCTTATTAAATCAGACATGATTCGGTTCTACTATTGTTTATAGCACAATCTTATGCTGTTTGAAGGACCAGATAGACAAACACGTTTCAATATCCTGTTAATTGTTGTCTTCTTCCAGACGTGAATTTACTGTCCATGCAGATTGCTGTGTAGCGTATCTATGCGTCAATGTCATCCTCTCTCCTCTGTGGCAGGTTTACTGTGCTGTGTGCTGCAACAGGAAGTGTAAACTGAAGTACCTGGAGAAAGAGGCTCGTGTATGTGTCCTCTGCTTTGACACCATTCACAGAGGTAAGGTTCTTGTTTGGTTTATTTGTATGCCTTTATTAAGATCCCCATGTGTTGTACCATTATAAAATACATGATTATATAGCGAGTCAAACAGGTGGTTGGCGGCGTGCAAGGGGTCACCTGTGATGGCCCTGGTGAGAAATTGAGACAGAAGGAGTTGGCAATAGCCTCCAGGGGTGGCAGAGGGCAGTAAATGATTTAACTGCTCATCCAAACATGAGTGAGTAATGAAATTAAACTGTATTATGAAAACAAATAAAGTAAATAAAATACAATAAATAAAGACAATAAAAATATTATTTGTCCTTTTGTGAGGACCAGTTTCAGGGCATGAGAAAGTTAGAGCATTTGAGCTGGCCTTTATATTTTCCTCACATTTCTTTAAATGCCTGTTTTGGAGTCAAAACTTTTAGAGTTAAAGTTGAAATCAAGTTTGAACGTACTTAAATCTAACATTGTTTGTATTTTAACAATGGGTTGTGTTTCTTACATTAGTAGAAGGGAAAATGAGTTCTGATGGTTTTGTAGATTTGGTGTGTGTGTTTTTGTGCATGTATGGTCTGTGTGTTCAACTATGCTAATGAATGAGTGAGTTTGTCTGTAAACGTTTAAAGTAGAGCTGGGCGATATAAGATTTTTTCATATCATGATATGTTTTCTTCATTTCGGGCGATAACGATATATATCACGATATAAGCCAAATAACTATATTTGTAAGATTTAAATGTGCCGTTGCTCACAAGTAAAATGTGAAATAATCAGCAGCTTGTTTTGATTTAAATATTTATTTCCCATAATAAGTTCAACAGGGTAGATGTACTTAAGAAACATGAGACTTCTTCAGATAAATAAAGGCAAATATTGCAAACTACACAAAAGGCAGCCGCTAAAGCGTTTAAGTTTCAAAATAGAACAAACAAAACAGACTACTACATTGTCAGTTCCACTTAGAAACAAAATATTAATTCTAAAAATAAATCTTAGTTTGTTTTACAGAAGAACAGACAAAATTTTGTCAACTTTTGTCAATATCAAATAAACTAAGAACTAAAAGGAAATTCTCAATCTCTCCTTGTTGTATAGCTTAGCTTTTCAAACAGTTTTAACAGTTACTTTAGTCTGACAAAAACCGAATGACGAATTAGCGCTTCCAGTCAGAGATTGAGCATGCACCGCTTTATTGTATTTCCAGACTTGCTTTCGGCACAATTTACAGTGCGCACTACTCTGTTTTTTGTCAGACTTGAAATAGCTGAAATACCTTCACAGTACGGAACTTCTATGGCTCTTCCGTTCGACAATCTCTCCGGCATTGGAACCATCATCTGTTTTCTCTTCGGTAACCTTCGGTCATGCTCTCGGTTGCTTTTTCTCTAGTCGGCACACTCATTTCCTCCATTACCCGGGCGGCACGGCGGCTGGCTGCTTCCCAAACAAATACACATGTGCGGCTTGGCACTTGTGCTGTACGTAACAAGTCACGTGACGTGACGCTGCGGCTGTGATTGGTTCGGCTCTGCCCTAGTTAATTTGGATTGGCTGCTCTTTTTTTTTTTTTTTTTTTTTTTTTTTTTTTTAAGAGGACAAGAGAGATGAGGCCTATCGCAGTAGTTTAACTTTTCTATCGAGAAAAAGTTATTTCGCAATACATATCGTTATCGTTCTATCGCCCAGCTCTAGTTTAAAGGAAGATGTGGTGGCTGCATTGAAGAAAAACAAAGTTTTCCTCCGACAAGAAAGCCTAATTTCTGCTGTTCAGTACTGGAGGAATTTAGACTTTTACAAATTATTGCTTAGCTGTGTCTTTAATAAAACCTCTGTAACTTTGCTCTACTTTACTTAAGCAGCATCAGGTAATGTTCTTATGTTGATTCATCGATCTACTGCAGTACATTTTTAAGGTGGTTATCTGCTATAAAAAGTTGAATTGGAATTGAATCGATTATAGAAATCAAAATCAATACCCAGCCCCATTTCTATCCTAATGAAAACACATACAATCTTTCCTTTAGTATTTAAGTAGGAACACAAAGCTGACAGCACAAAGCAAAGATAAGAATCCTAAATTTTGGGCGATGTAAATCAATTTACACATTAACATATTTCTGAAGTTTCTTCGTTACAGTGATTCCACTGTATAAACATGAACAGGTAGAAACAAAGGCTGCAGCCTGACTGCTCATCCATTTGCTATCTGAAGTTTAGGGTCTGGCTGCTAGGCTGTCGTGTGCATTCAACATCACTCTGGGTTCTTGGCTAGCTTAGTGTTATCATGCTGTCTAGGCAGGTGCTTGCAATGAGCTGAATAATATGATGAAAGCCTTGAAATAAATATGGTCTAGTACACCTCATGCCCCTCTTTAGATTTACTCCTGCTTGCTCCAAGTATCAGTGCAATAGAGAGTGGTATAGCTGCCACAGTCAGCCTTCAACAGGCTACCTAATTTAAACATCAGACTAAGTTAACAGTTCATTTTTCGCTGTGTAAAACAAACAATGGTGGATTGGAGCAGTTACAAAGTTAGCATTAGATTAAGTGATGCTGTTTTGGAGACTGGGAAAAACATTTTCTTTAACTCTCCCTAAGCTCACCATCTTGGTAACAATAAAAGACGTGGAAATAGGCACCTTTTTTTTTAGCTGGACTGCAGCAGTGATTTGGAGAGAGATGGGAGATCGGAGTTGATTGGAGAGGAAAGTGATAACAGGACACTATTACTTGTCCTTGAGCTTGTGAGTCTATGTAGTACAGGACCACCGAGTGCAGTGGACATGTGATGCTCACATGCTGTCTAAATTAAGGAGGAGATGGTCCACTTTAGTGGCTTTTGGATGCTCGGGCAGTGTGTTGCAATCCTTCTCTTCTCTCCCTCACACAGCTCCTCCTCTCCTCCCCTCTCTTGCTTTCCTCTCCCTCACTGACATCAGTATACGAGGCTTACTGCATACACCTCAGCGTACAGCTAATAGCCTGTTATTATTTACGAGAGGAGCCGCTTCAGAAAAGCTGTGAGGAGTGGTCTGATGTCAGTTGGCAAGAGAGATTTGTCATAATGTGGATTAATTGTGTTTTAGTTGAGGAGGAGATGATGAGGTAAGATGTTTCTTACTGGTAATGAATAAAATGTTAGAAACTTTGTACTGCTGCTGTGCTGGATTGTTTGAGTTTAGAATGTGTGCATATATTGCAAATCAGTGTTTTGTCTCCATTTTAAGTAATATATTTGGTTATGTTACCGTTGCACTGAAAATGGGGTCAGTAAATAGCCTTAAGCCTTGGTTGACTTTTTTTCTGCCATGTCATCCTTTCGTTGCACAGCAAGGTGAATAACTGTTCTTGCATTGATACTAATTGAATTATTGATACTAATTGAATTACTTAAAAGAAATTATAGAAACAAGGGTCTAAATAACCATAATATCGTTGTAATGTTTCAATCTGCTGTGGTTGCATTCCTGTGTTTTTGAAAGCGACATTGTTGTTGCTGTCATTACATACTGGATAACTAAAGCTATGTGATACATAATCAATATAATACGACATAATTGCTTGATCAGCAGCGCTGAGAAAAGCTGTTCTGAAAGCCTCTCCACTATAGCCAGTTTTCCTGAAAGTAATAACTCATCTTATAGCAATGTTGGGGACTGAACCAATATCCAACTGGAACAGCTTTAGAAAAGCTGTTATGCTGATGTAGTAGAGGTGGGAATCACCATACATCCCACGATACGATATTATCACAATATCATAATAATATACTACGATATTATTGCAATTTTTAAAAATATTTTGCGATATTCAGATTCTGTACATAAAGGTAAACTTTATCAATATTCATTTTATCTAATAACAAAGTCTCACACTCAGTCTTTCTCTCATTTCAGTTTTATTGTTGACAAACTGAACGGTTTGTATTACAGTCTAGTCCAACTTAACTGAATGCAACCATCTGGTAAAATTATAGCTATTCTGAACTATGCAATTTATGAAAACTATGCAGCCCCTTCAGCAACTGAAGAATTTGAAAGTAAATTAAACAAACAAAATATAATTTTACATTAAATAAAAAAGTTTTAAACTTAATTAAAATAAAACATGTCTTAAATTAAAATAAGTAAACTGTCATGTTTATTGCTGCCAAAAAAAAGTTAAACACATTTGGACAGTGAAGGAATGTCAGGATTCTTGCTCAGAAAAAGGATCAACATGCTCTGAAGTCAGAGCACAAAAACCTTTTTGTAACAAAGTATCGATTCCTGCTGTCCCTGTATCGATACATTATTAGCAAACAAAATATCACGATACTACACAGTATCGATTTTTTCCCCCCACCCCTATGATGTAGGCTACAGTCCTACACCCCAACACTGAACTTTATGAATACAGAAACTTGAGAACAAGCCAAGAAGGAGTTTGAAATTTATACGTGTGTATATATAAGTGTACGTCCTAAAACTTGACCTCATGATCAAGGATAGCGGTCACATTTTGTGAACATCTTGTGAATGTGATAGTTTGAGAACGTAGGATTTTGAAACTGATACCATCGGTGTATCGGCTTAAGGGTACCACTGGCTGCCACCAATTTTATTCTTTTAGTCAGTGAGCTAGAGGAAACGTGTAGCGGCACTCTTCTGTATCGTTCACCTGCTTCTCCTGCTGCATTAAGAGGGACTCCAACTCCACCATCTTGGACTGCAGCTGGTAATGATAGCTAGAGAGCCACACTTAAGGGAATGTGGAGCAGGTGGAAAGTGGTTCAAGTTCCATAACAACACAATCACCGAGGCAGCAATACAGATGGAGGGCTACCAGCTGCAGTCCAGGACAATGGAGTCGATGTCCATCTGTAAGAGAACTAATTTGAGAGGCGTTTTGTTATTTGTCAGGATTTTTTTAAATAAAATTCCTGCAGTGGAAGTCTGTGTAAATATTATATACTTGACAAATTCAATATTTAAACTGCATTTAGACGCATTTAGATATATATCTGTGTTAGTCCATTATTGGTCAGATACTGCTAATATACTGTCCAGCTTTTTTTCAACAGGCTTCTCTGAAGAAACTTATTGATAGAGATGCTTGTCTAATTTTTGTTCTAATTTTTCCTTCTCCAGTGTCCTCACTTATTTTCCAAATCTGTAACAGAACCGCAGAAAGTGGAAGTCCTTTTTAATTAAACCAATGAAATATAGCTATAATAATATGTTGCAGTGCTCTCCTTTGTTCTCCACCACTTGCACTTTCTAAACACAACTTATTAATTACAGGAAAATTATTCACAATCTTGCATTGCAGTAGACATGTCCCCCCTTTTATCTTCTGATTGCTTTTTTAAAATGTTGTTTTAATTTTTGTAACAACCATTAATTAATTGTAGATTAATTGTAGATTTTTTTTTTTTTAAAGGAAAAAGAAATATCCTGGTTCTTTGTAGCAGGGGACAAATTTAGGCTGAGTGGGCCTTATAGGCCTCAGTCACACAGACCTGTAAACTGGGCCACTTGGGAAAAATGTATGCTTTCCAACTGCAAGCAGTTGCTGGATTGCATTCAAAATAAAAGTTGTGCCTTACTACTAAAACCAGCATGTTTGAAAAGGCACAGCCTTTAATTAGTTCTCCAGAAATACAATAAACTTTAGTAACGAAAAATCATTTGACCACTGAAGTTTAGTTTACTCTAAAGAGGACTTGAAAATCTAAATAAAACCTCAGATTAGATTGCCACCATTTCACAGACATTCAGACAGTCATATTCAAGAAACTAGTCTCTACATCTAAATGAGTCAGGTAACTAGGTTTTTAGACTCGAGTTAACACCTTTTAAAAAAAAAATAAAAAATGAACATGCTTCTAACAGCATCCTTCTGTTGTAGCCCAGGCTCTGGAACGGATGATGAGTCCTACAGGTCCTAGCCCAAACCCAAATGTCCCATCTGAATACTGCAGCACAATCCCCCCTTTACAGCAGGCCCGTGCTGCTGGTACTCTAAACTCCCCACCACCTACTGTCATGGTGCCTGTGTCTGTTCTTAAACACCCAAGCAATGACGGTAAGGTTATTCTTACACAGTCTGCTTTACCTTTCACTTGTTTTCCTTAACTGTACCCCTGAAGACACTTCCTTTTTCTGTGTTATCAGGTTGTCCTCGTGAGCAAAAGCGCGTGTGGTTTGCTGATGGTATCTTACCCAATGGAGAGGTGGCAGACACTGCCAAGCTGTCTGTGATGAGCCGCAGGAGCTCCCAAGAGTTCAGTGGTGTCACCCCAGATGAGACAACAGTAAGGCAATCATCCTCATAGCTCATCTATCAGGATTCCACCTTTTTAGAACTTTATAACCAGGGGTGCACATAAGTGGTCCGCAGGTGCGCATTCACTGTCAAAATAAAAGACGCGCACCAGACAAGAAGTTGCAACGCGCCTTTGCGTACATATAAAAGGCACTGTTTTTGTCCGCTAGAGTGGGATTTTCACGGCATATTTTGCACCACATCTCTGTGCGTTCATCATTTGTTTGAAACCAGCTCACCTCCTGCAACCACTTTTCCGAGAATGCGCGCTTCTTTTGCGGTTTGGACTCCTTTGGACATTTCTTTGGAGATGGAGGAACACCAATGTAATTGCTTAAAGGAGCTTGCTTCTTCGACATCTTTAAGAGTTCTGAACAAATCTTTGTCCTCCTCCAGAAAATCTTATGTACCCAAACACGTGTTGCAACTTCTTATCTGGTGCGCGTCTTTTATTTTGACAGTGAACCCGCACCTGCAGACCACTTAGTACACCCCTGTTTATAACTCAACAAATGGCTCAAATTACTGATCCCTTGTTTTGGTACAAATACATTGTAAATACCTACATTCATTTAATAGTTAGTATTATAGTCAACATGCCCATCTGTCTTGAAAGTTCAGTCACTACTGACCAACTAGTCCCAGCTAACTTTTTTTTTCAGAGTCGGGTTTCTCATTCTGTGGTCCCACAGACTCCACTCCTATGGCGTTATTTTTGTGCCACTATTCTGAGCGCAAATTTGAGCACAAGTAAGAAAAAGTTTGCAGGTGCAAGTGTTGCATTTTGAGGAGAAATTTATTTTTGAGTGAAGAAAAGCTGAATTTGAGTGAACAAAATTCATTGCTGCGTGCAAAAAATGTATTTCAGTGTTTGCTATTATCCATACACACACACAATAGCAGCCCCTCTCGCTCAGTTTTTGTATTTGCGCTCGCTCACAATTTTTTTTTCTGCTCTTGCTCTTGACGAAGGTGGTCGCACTTTTCTCCTCTCCTCTTCTCCCTTACCTTTCCTGCTTAGCCTCTTATCACACATATGATAAGGCTCCACCCCTGAACATATTTCAACTGCCATATTTGACATCAAGGACAGCGCCACCTAGTGGGAACAGGAAATGTCATGTTTTACACTTTGGGGTACAGTATTGTGATGGGTGACATCTGCAGCCTGAAATTTCTCCAGGAAAGCCTTAAGGAGTTGGTCTTGGGTTACAGTGAAAACTGTGACTTTTTGCTAAAGGGTGTGACCTCAGCAGCATGGCAAACTGTGAAGTCTCGCCATGAAGAAACAAATTAGTATAACTCAATGAAATCCAGTCTTATCAGTACAAGACTTTAGAGGCGTGATGTCAGACCCGCCCTGAACAGATTGATGTGCCCATTGTCAGGAATACGCAGAGCGCCACCTAGTGGGAACAGGAAATGTTATGTCTTTCACTTTGTTGTACTGATTTTCACAGGTTCATCGTGGCCACCTCAAAAGCGGTGAATATCACCATCAGTCCCTCATGATGGTTCAGTGCGAAAATTGTGACTTTAAACTGAACGGCGCACCCTGGTGGCAACGCGGTTCACCATGAAAGATGAAGTGGCTTTTGAGGGGCTTGGAATGTTTAAAAAGTCTTGAAATTTGGCGCACACCTCCAATGTGATGAAGGCTTTGTTGTTATGTGATCATTTCAATTGAATAGCGCGAAATCGCTCCACAGCACCCCCTACAAAATTTCAAAACATCAGCCCTTGCTCTGTGTTTTATCTATGAGTCTGAAACCTGGTAAGCTTATGGAAGATATTAAGATGCACAAAAAAGTATCTTGGAGCAATATCCCAAATCCAACAGGAAGTCAGCCATTTTAAAATTAATGTGTAATTTTGGCGACATTTTCCCCTCTTTTCAGGCACCGTACTTTGACGAACTCCTCCAAGGGATTTTTTCAGATTAAACCGATCTCCAGTGCATGGAATCTGAAGACCTTTGTGATGTTAAATTGCGAAGTGTTTTACGTTCAGGGAAACGGGTGGTCATGGCGGCACGTGAAGTTTCAATCACTCGCCAAAAAGCAGTAATCTGCTGTCACTCAAAAACACAATGTCCAATCTCTCCCAAAGTTTGCAGGCGTGATCAGAGTCGAGCTCGGAAATGTTTGATATGCGATTTGTCAGTAATGATTAGAGCGCCACCTAGTGGGACGACTATAATCATGATTGAATGAGATGAAATGTTAGCTGGTGGTTAAATGCATGAATTCCATCAATTTGACATCAGATCGGACGTGCTGGTTTTAGGTGTTGGGCGTGGCTCGACACGCCGGGGTGTGTTATTGCCTCTCATTTTGTCATACATTGTCCGATCTGGACCAAAGAGCACACATATGATAAGGCTCCACCCCTGAACATTTTTCAACTGCCATATTTGACATCAGGGACAGCGCCACCTAGTGGAAACAGGAAATGTCATGTTTTACACTTTGGGGTACAGTATAGTGATGGGTGACATCTGCAGCCTCAAATTTCTCCAGGAAAGCCTTAAGGAGTTGGTCTTGGGTTACAGTGAAAACTGTGACTTTTCGCGAAAGGGTGTGACCTCAGCAGCATGGCGAACATTGATGTCTCGCCATGAAGAAACAAATTAGTATAACTCAATGAAATCCAGTCTGATCAGTACCAGACTGGTCATGGCGGCACGTGGAGTTTGAATCACTCGCCAAAAAGCAGTAATCTGCTGTCACTCAAAAACACCATTTCCAATCTCTCCCAAAGGTCGCTGGGATGATGAGACTCAAGCTCGGAAATGTTAGTTATGCCATTTGTCAGTAATGGTTAGAGCGCCACCTAGTGGGAGAACTATAATCATGATTGAATAAGATGAAATGTTAGCTGGTGGTTAAATGCATGAGTTCCATCAATGTGACATCAGATCGGACGTGCTGGTTTTAGGTGTCGGGCGTGGCTCGACGTGATGGGGTGCGAGGGCCCTCATAACGCTGCTTGCAGCTTTAATTTTCCTCTTGTACTTTCCCATTGTAGTGTATATTTCTGTTTTTTTTCTGTAACGCTACCGATCTCCGACCTGTATCCCCATGTGATGTCTGTGTTGTGTGTGTGTAAGG